ATCGATTGATAATTGCTCTCAATAATTTTGTGTTTAAATATGCATGGCTTTTCCATAGCACATATATATATATATATATATACATATACACACTTGTATGACCAACATGTGGATGGAAGATTATATGTGTATTGCAAAAGCTGGTGTGTAGTCCCCAATAACAACCACAAATTAAAGCACTAAAAAATACCCCTCGTACGGGTATTTTTTTAATGGTACCAGATCTCATTTTGTATAGATGCATAAACTTCCAATGAGAAAAAATGTTGGTTTCCATGACTTGACTTTTGGGGCTGAAGTGAAAATCATACTAGGGGAAATAACTTTAAATTTTACATAGTTTATCTCCCATGCATATACTGGTATATATATACACAGACATATATATATATGCATGCATATATATATATACTTATAATATATATATATATATATATGCATGCCGATATAGGTATGAGGCATCAATGGCTCCTATCCCAATTGGTCCCACTTGTCCACTGTCCACCATCCTTTGAAACCAACAATGGGAAAGAAGGTCAAGATACTGGCTTTGCTTCAATTGTTTTCTCTGCCCAGTAAACTGTTTTCTACCGGAACTCTTGCTGATGGTCACCTTGGCCGTTTTGTTTTGCTTGTACTCCTTGGAATGGTAATTGAACTTTGTCAGCTTTCCCAAATCCAAAAGCCCAACAGCCTGGCTGTTACTCCATCCTATGTGACGCTTGGGGGTCTTCGAGTGGTAGTGTGCCATCCACCATCTGGCAGTCCATGCCTAGGCATGTGCACAGCGGAGGCGGCAGAGGGAAAGAGACATACCCAGGTCAGGTCCAAACCATCAAACATTGAAACCCAATTTAATCCTGATAATCAGCACAGATTTCGATTAATATATATAATATATATAATTATATATATATATATATTTACATCAATAAAAATCTATATAGATTCCAATTGGTAGACATAAAACTCCGCGTTGTATATATATATATAGATAGAAAAAGTTAAGATGATAAAAGTGATTCTCTGATTCATGGTCAGTTAGTCCTCTGAATCAAACACCATTAGTATGTTTTTTAAACTTTGGGGGATTGGTGTGTCTAATTCAACTTGTGGGCCACCCATAAATATAGTTTCAGCTGCGAGCGAACGAATCAAGCAATCTACCTACTTGCCATGTATTTATTTACTTCTTGGTTTATTTATTTATATATGCATGCACATATGTATGCATGCATATGTATAAAATTGTAAAAATATACAAATGAGGGCCCATGTACTCCCAGTTTCACAAAGCAACCCTTCCATCTCCAGCCCTCCCAAATAAAGGTATAGAACTGGATGGTTGTTCTTTGTTTTGAATATGGGGATATCTCAAAATGAGGTGTCCTTTTTCCTTCTTTAAAGCACTCAAATGGGGACCAAAAAGGGCACCTCATTTTGGGATATCCAGTATCCGCGTGACTTATAATAGACGACTATCACGCTTCCATGCACTATTTCATCGTAATCCCTGCAAGAGCAGATCTCGGAAAGAATTCGTTTTGAACACCAATATCAAAAAATATATGCGTGCAAAGAGAGTGCACATAATTGCACACGCATGTGCTGCATGAACGCTCTTTAAAAAATAAGATCCTACGGGTGCAAAATTGCAATCAAAAAATTACACTGTTGGGGTCAATGATTGAGCTCGAGGTCCCATGCACATTTAAGGGAGATAAGAACCCAATTGTAACAGTAGTGGTTCTTTGGAGTAAACTTACCTTTTCAGTTTGGCCTTTTCTGAAATACTTGAATCATCCATGTCTGAAAAGGTTCGAGGTAACAATTGTTTTTCCCTGTCCAAGTCGAATGTCAATATAACTATTATGAGAATACTTGGCCCCAGCTAAAGTCACAACCAGAATCAACGACTTAGATGACCTTTCATGACCTTTCCAGAAAACACCCAAAGTAAACATATCATGAATTGACACCATGGTTCTCGAAAATGGCTGAACGCTTCCATCACCCTGGGATGAAACCTCAACAGTGATAGGCTAGGCTGTTCCACCATCCAGCATCCAGACATAGCCTCTATCAGGTAGAGTAACAGCGCCAGCCTAGGCAACCGCAAAGGACAAAGGGTGGTTCAGCTTCTCGGGGGGGAATGATTTGGAGCAATTGGAAGTTTTTTTGGAAATACCACATATATTCAAACAAAAACTGAAAACTGATATTTGTTCTCCAAAACACCGTGCAGCCATGCAATTGGCAAGTTGAACGTAGCCCCGGTCTTCCCGGCCCAACGGCGTACAACAGCTTCTCCCACTTGTAGCCATATTAATTGTAGTCCAAGAGCTACAAACAATGGCACAAAGAACTGTAAATTGTCCATGCTTGGAGTTCAAAATCGTGGCCACAGCCAACCTGAGTTTCAAAACCACACATTATGTATAAGTAATAGAAATGCATCAGGAGTTATTAATGGGCACTTCATGGAAGCATGAAACCCACTGGTTGGTTGGAATCAAAGGCCAATGAAAACAACATGAAGACATGCCAAGAAACAGAAACCCTGACGGGGTCATGATATCGAAATGATTTGATCGGTGGGGCTTCTGAGGGTCAACCTGAAAATATTCTATATCCAGGGCTGCCGTGTTTCGACCTGACTTCCGGACCATAGTCGTAGTCCAAGCTGTGCCAGCCCACAGCTCCACAAAATCGTAGGACTGCATGCAGTGTGCTGCCCCCATGCATGTATATATAGTTCATGCAAATGTTCATTCTCATTTAAACTCCATCAAACCATGCATGCATGTTTTTATGCAAGTGCATGCACGCAGTTTTTTTTTCGGATGGTATTCCTGAATTCCTGATTCCCCATGAAAAAATACCAGTGTGAATTAATTACTTGAAGGACGAACAATTCCACCTCACCACACCCCACCGACCAACCTCTGTGAGAGTATCCACATTGGATGACCAAAGAAGCATCAATATCATGGCCTGCAGGACCTTGCGTCCGCTCGATGCCCGGTCAATGTTTTCAATGAAGGTCCGGGGTTTTGACACGCATGCATGCATGCATGCATGCATCCAGATACATCTAGAAATGGACAATAGTGTTTTCCGAAGATAAACAAAATAGCTGCATGCATGCATGCGCAAACAAACCATAGAAATTTAGTTTGCCCAATTATAGCAACTGATTTCGCTAAGGGGTGGACCTTTGGAGCCCCTACAATGGATAGTCTCCACATCAGGGTCGGAAGAGTAAGGCGCTTGACATCCGGCATAGCTGCACCGTGCTGGTTGGTTGGCCCAGCAGAACCCATGCACCTTCAAGATCCAGACTGCGATTGAGCCAGAGAAGCAACACATTTTGCTCTTGGTTTGCAGCCCTTTTGCATCATGAATATAATCTTAGACATCGCTCATACTGCCTGTGAATGGCATTACAAAAATAAGTGTTAAACATGTTGATTGATCTATGCAGGTTATGCAGGGTGCCTTGTGACGCTTGCAGGTGCAAACCACAAACCCATATATGTAATCTTAAACCCGCCAGCTTGACCATCCCCAGTGTCACAGCTGTCAAGCCTGACTTGCCAGGCCTTGCGTTTGCCCATGAGATGGACCTCAGGCCAGGGCACAGAGAAACTAAAACATGGGCAGACCGGGTCGACAGGGGAACCTAGAACCTCATAACAATTTGGAACATAAACTGAGTCCATGTAATAATGAGGGGAAAGGAGCTGATCCAGAATCCAGAAACCATGCAAGATATCCAAAATAGACTGCTTTGGGTCGAATGTTCAGCTCAAGCTGCAGCAATGGCTGTCTTTTTCCCACCAAGCTTTAAGTTGCAGGTTTAATGGAGGTCAAAGCCAACCCCAGCGAGCTTAGCTGCCGTTTCCAGCACACAATTGTTGGCCATCGCATGGGTCCCCAACAAATATAGATAGTTATAGACATATGTACAAGAATATGGTATGCCATATACTGGAAACATTAATATGTGGGACAAGTGTTCACCAATATATTGCTTTGAAGATAAATTGCTGATATGCCCGCTTATACATGACCTTTCAAGGATTATGAGAACAAGGCCTGAGGAAATCCATGCCCATAGACCTCATTGGTGACTCCCCCAGCAACTTCTATGCTGGTTGTAGGGCCTTGAAGCCAAGCCCGCAACATATACAGTGGTTCTATCTCGCTGAGAATTTCACCCGTGGCATTTGCCACGCACTGCATGCCTGACATCTTTATACAAAAAATATTCATGCATGCACTACATCGAATGAAAAGAACCATTCAAATTGATATCATTTAGATTTATGATTTCCTAGTTTGTTGGGCTGAAACAGATATATGTTGAAGTATTTTGCATGCATGCGTGGCTACAGCTCCTTAAGCGTCACAAAAGCGATCGACATGTTCGATCTATAGCTAATCACATGTTGTAGTCCTGGTACGTTTTGCCCAACGCATGGGCAATGGAAACTGCTTTCACAAGATCCGTCAAAGCAGCCCTGAAGGACTCGACGTCCTCACTGTCCAAGTCCTTGCACTCCTCATGAGGCTTGTCACCACCAACGTAGTTGACCTGGGCTTGAGCAATGTGGGATATATTATATTAATATATAAGTGGGCCAGGACTATATATATATATAAATTATGAAATAACATTATTTGATTCCATAAAATTAGGAATGAAGAACAGGTGATCAAAAAACATGCAATCCAATATTTATTGGACATACATGAATAAATATATATATGCATTTATATATATTTATATATATATATACATGCATGTATATATATAAGGGATTGCATTCCAATTGTTGTTTGATCCAAATCACCGCAAAAAGCTACAAGCATATGGTCCAAACAGCAATGTTGCCAAACACATCAACATCGTTTTATGGGTGCATGGCCAGGGGCATTCATTAAACGAACTATGCATGCATATACATGTATATATATAGGTATATATGCACATAGCTCTACAGCACATTGCGTTTCAAGAAGTATTTCTTGAACATGTGATCCAGTTTTTGATTCAGGAAATGAGATTGTATTACTGAACATGCACATGCATGCGTATTGTACATGTGCACACTTTTCCTGCATGCATGCGGTCTTTGCACAGCAACTGAGATACCGACATACATGAGGGCAGCAGCCATTGGAATGCCGATGTGAGTGCACGGTGGCCCCCCACTGAAACAAAACACGTGAACTTTCTTCTTCTTGCCCTCACCCTTTGCTTGGAGTACCCCAACACGGCGTGCATCCCAATACATGCTGAACCCCCAGTGTTTCATCTTCGTCGCACAATTGCGTTCTGGCTCTTTGACGGCACCAAACATCTTTTTGGCAAAGAAGGTAAATGATGGATCCCCTTGGTTCTCGTCGAAAGTCGCCTGGGCCCACGCAATCTGGGTAGTGGTTGGTGGGGCAGGCTCGTTCTTGGGTTTGTTTCCTTTCAGGTTGCAGGCATCCTTTGGTTCACTTGCATCCTCCTTCGGAGGCTGATCCACTGAAAGACACTTGTCTCCAGTAGTCTCTTTCTGGTCAGGTTCGGTCTTCTTTGGAGTCTTCTGTGATCGCTTAGCCCTCTTGGCTTTCTTCTGTCTCACAGGTGGGGAGGACACAGGAGGCTCTCCCGAAGATCCCATGGCACCACCCTGAGACCCCTTTGTAGGAGTAACTTTGTCATCCCCTGATTCAGGAAACAACTGTCGACGCTCAGGTGTGCACATGTTCGCCCTTTTGGCTGGCTTCATGCTCATATCCATGTCATCCCCAGATTTCTCAGGAACATCTTCCGGGGCTTGGGCTGGCTTTTTTGTCCTACCCCTGCCTTTCCCTCTACCCTTTCCACGTCCCCTGCCCCCCCCACGGCCATTCTTGCCATCTTCCTTGTCCTCTTTCGCTTTGGCTGCCATTGCAAGTTGCTCTCGACGGGTAAGAACCTGAGGCCGGAGATCTGGATCAAGCCCAGGCCAATGGTAAGTATAAATTTGTATTATATATTATATATACATGCATGTTTTGTTAAAACAAACATGTAATGATGGCAAAAACAATGCTATATATATAATATATATATAAATTAAGCAGCTATAAAGGTGCATCTGCATGTCTTGAATAGGTTCTATACAACTTTCTACAACTAATTGAATCTTTGTCATACGAATACCTGTGCATGTGCATGTACACAACTTGCACAAAGATGAACAATACATATATAAGTGCTTTTGAAAAACCTAAGCACTCCCCATGCCAGAATGTAATGCCGCAAAAAACTTAGCGTCTTAAGACAGTGCATGCACTTTGAAACTCACAAGTGATTTTTTGAGTTGGGGTACCGGTTCGCGTTCAGATTCTTCTGGGACCATGGTCGGCGGAATCTTCTGGCCATCATGCTCACTGGGGACCTCTGGGATGCCCAAATCATTGTTTTTTTCCCCATCTACAACCGGAGTTGATTCTTTCATGAGAAGCAGACCCACACTAGCAGGCAATCCATTGTCGAAATTCATGGGCAACGTTGAGTCGATGTCCCCCGCATAAGGAAGGGTCTCTGTAACAACCCAAGTGGTCTTGTCGGTCTTGTCATCCATGTCTGTCGAAACCTTCAATTCGGGGCTTGGGCCTGGAGCACTTCTGCCTGACCTTGGATCGGGCTGGCAGAAAGATTAAAAGGGATCCGGGGATTAAAAACGAGTGTCTCAAGTTTTTCTCTGTCCAAGCTAGCTCAACATGCCCACATCGAGGTGATTTACAGGTTGCGTGTGCAAATGCCCATGCCCATGCCCATGTCCATGTCCAAATACATGCATATGTGACACATGCATGCACCTACCTCTCAGATCGAATGCATCTTTGGATACTAAGCTTTCACACACACACAGACATCATCAAAAACATAAACAGTGGTAACATATCGTAAAACTACAAATTTAATATATTAAACAACAATCCAACAAAATGATTGAGTCTCTTCGGCATGTAAACAACCTAGGCCCCCCCACCCTGAAGACTGCAGCTTCTGCTGCGTTGACTCCAGTGCCAAGATCTCAGCCTTTAACTCTGCAATGCGACGCTGTCGCTCAACCTCACCAAGATCAACTTCCACCTGCTTAGCAGGCTCCGTCTTTTCATCATCATCTATATGAATCACCTTGGCCTGGGATGTCCCCCCAGTTTGAAGAGGGCGGGCTACTGGGCGAGAGCTGGCAACTGTCTCCTCCACTCCCTTGTTTGAAGATTCATCCACTGGGTCGTGCATGGGTTCAAGCTCAAAAGGGTCATGGGGCTGGGAATCAGGAATCTCAACCTGGGAATCCATGAGTTCCATCAGTTGGGTATCCATCACAACCTGGGTGTCCATGGGCTGGGAATCATCAAGTTCAGTTGGTGGTACCGAACCCTCCGCTGACAGCAAACTCAGCTGCCTTTCAACCATAGAGTCAAAGAACCCATCATCATCATTGTCTTCATCATCAGAGCCGAACAGGGGGGCATCGGATCCCTCTGCCACATCCTCATCATCTTCTTCGCAGTGGTTGCAAGCCTGCATGCAGGCAGAACATGTGAAACAACTCTGAAAATAAAACACCCCACAACAGAAGCACCCTTTTAAAATTGACGCACAAGCACATGCACTTGCAAAGGTCCATATGATATATAAGAAATGAACCTTCATTGATTGAGAACCCAACATTCATGATAGATGGGCTTCCCACAAAGAGCACTCTCTGATGCACATGCATTCATAAGCTAAGCGCATGCGTGCATATGCACATATACACATTTGCATCAAAACATATTCCTTTTCACCATTTAGAAAAAATACTGCATGCATGTGTCCATATATACACGCATATGTATTCACAATTATATATATAATTATATATATATATATATAGCGATATATAATTATAAATATATATTATATATACAAATAAATATCTTATGCCCTGGCCATGCTTTCAGTTCACAATGCCACCCCAATCAATTAATGGCCTGGAGAGAGGGATGAAGAATCCGTTGAAGCTTCAGAAAGCGGATGTCCTGCCGGGAGCAGCGGGACCAGGAGGAAAAATAATTCATCCATAGCTGGTATCCGAAACTAAGATAAAAGTGGGTTTGAATTTTATGTTATATCAGCGTATCACTCATGATATTTATTTTGGGTGTTAAAAATGATGGGACAAATTTCCAATCAAGAAACCACAGAGCCAAGCTTTTTGTGGGTCTTCATCTTGATGAAAGACAGCAAGCTTTTGCAAGTCCAGGCATCGAGGCGGATCTTATCTTTCTGGCACACAAGGTTCATCTTCGTCCGAAACAATTTGATCCTAAGAGTTTCAGCTGTGAAGGTTGTAATACTATTTCAAAAGATCGAATTACATATCTTGATTTATTAAAAAAAATATATATTATATGGAACTTTCACCTCATCTCGACGCCTTAGCTCTAAAGTATGGAAAACAAATATTGATCAAACTCTAAATAGGCTAGGCTCTCCCGGGCAAGATCTTCCAAGTATGGGATTGGGTGCGTCCTGTCCCTTGCCATACGAAAAAGAAGGGGTGCCAAGACAAACTCATTGTGGACCGCATCCTTGATGGAAAACTTGATGGAATGCCTTTCCCCACCCTGCACATCCTGGTGTGATTGGAACAGCCTATCGGTGTTGACAGCGGTATGACGAACTGCCGCCTCCTGCCTCCACTCCCGGTGAATGTTGGAAGTGTCGCAGGTGGGACGACTTGCTCGTTTTGCTCTAGCAGCTGCACTAGGCATGGCCAAATCCCCGTAGTGGTCACAGGGTTCGATCTTGGAAAGTGTCAAGCCCAAATGCTTTGGATTCATTTGGTGCACAATTCATGTAAGCAAGGGGAAATTGAAAAAAAAACATCCAATCTATACTAATGAGCATAGCCGAATGAAAATATATCCAGGATAAATCAATCCAGGAGAACATGGTGTGTTTTTCTTGATTCTGATGGTCATACGTCATACAGAAGTCGTTCCCATTTTTGTTTGTGATGCCTCGACCACCAACCCGCATGCAGGGAAAGCTGAGTTCACGGCTGACTCTTTGGCTTCGCTGCCAAAAGGGCCATGGATGCACCGCTGCTTGTGGATGAGTTATAGGTAAATATCTGGCTCACCTGTTTACTGGTGAGGTCTTCTATATATTTTGCTCCCTTAATATGCTTACCCAAGTTTATCGATTTATGATTGATATGACTTGCATCCGATGGGTATTGTTGCTCTTCATGTACCGGTGATTGGATATATTAATCCACAAACACCATCAAGAAATCACAGTTAGATAAGCCAAAATGGCTATTCACCAAGATTACACCTGGCGACACCAAGGCCGGAGCGGGCTGGGATATGAAAACCCGGTTATCCCTTGGCAACAGTAATCCTTTGGGTATTACAAGGTTTTGATCACCAAAACGATGTTATTCTCAAATAACCTTTGTTTCCAGCTTACCGAAAGCTGATGGTATTAACTATCATTCTATTTTATATTAACTATCTATTAGCTATGATTAGATATTATGACTGTTATTTATGATACTATACAATGATTAACAATACTTAACATTATAATTTCAATGGGAATTTCAGGATCCTAAAATGGAGGGACGTTAGTACCAACTTTTTTTAATCATATTTTGTTGAGATATTCCCTGAAATTTAGGCCTTATATATGGATATATATGGTAGGTACCTCCAATTTATATAGGTTCCTATGGTTCCTGAAATATGGCCATTGATACATTACCAATGGACTGGCGGTATTGAACCATCCAGGACCATCACTTGGATCACTCGGATTCCATGAGGCATCCTTTGCGACGAAAACGGCACCATTTTTTGCGTGTCCCGTGTCCGGTGGGGTCGTGGCTTCTGCTCGTGAGTTGCCAACACCACCCACCAGACGTGGCCCACGTGGCCCACGGGCCGACGGACTTAAATCTTTGCATGCCAGATGTGACAGAAAATCAGGTACATCAAGATACTACTTGATGATTTATCATGAAATACTGCATAACAAGCAGCTTTTGGTACAGTAGTTCCTAAAAAGTTCTTCCGCACATCAAGCATTGATTCAATCTCAACAATGTTTTCTGTCGGAGCCACGCAAAATCCGCAAAACAGGTATTTCAGACCGCAGCCATCTATAGTTGCCTATAGTTGCTGCCGGTCACGACTGTGACTTCAAACCTCCGCCTTTACCGAGGGAAATCCAACCAAAAACTTGGACCGCGAACCTCTATGAGGTTTGTGCCTCTCCACGGCTTCTGTGACATCTGCGAAATTCAAAGTTGACGTCCATTTCAGGCTGGGTTTGGTTTGGAACTATGGCAATGATTCACAGTTGATGTCTTTAGTTGGTGATTTGGAAACCCAATCATGGCTAAAAACATCTAAAAACACATCCATTCAGTTTTCACAGTGACAGCCGGCAGGAAATCAAAGAGTGAGTGTAGTTTGTAAGGCTCGGTTGTAGCCTCACGGTGGCAGGTGGCGGGTTGGAGGTGGCAGTGATGAAAATGTCGGGCTTGTCATGGCTTGTCCTCTGTGAGTAACGTGAAAGACAGTACAGTGGTACCAGTGTCTATACCCTCTGGTAATTTAACATAGCTATGGAAAATGACCATTTATAGTGGATTTTCCCATTAAAAATGGTGATTTTCCATAGCTACGTTAAATTACCAGAGAGTACTTGATACTGTACAATGGGTTTAGGGCTCTTGAACGATGACATTTTATGATCCATTCCCGTCCTCTTCACTCACGTTGATTAAAACTCATTTGGCATATCTGACTGAATCTGTGATGATACTCAGGTCCAGCTTATCGGAATCATATTCCATTACCCTCTGGTAAACATACAAAAAACTATTGAAAATGGCCATTTATAGTGGATTTACCCATTATTAAAAAAAATGATTTTCCATAGTTCTTTGTATGTTTACCAGAGGGTAAAGCCCCTGTTGTTTCCAATGGCCCATTGTGGCCCATGATGATTCTTTGAAACTCACTCGATGGTCTCAAGAGGAACGAAAAACCATGGTCCGTGGGCAAGCGTTTTTTTTTTTGGCGAGCGGCTAGTAGACAGCCAGGTGTATCGCATTAACCCTACAAATCATGGTCATGTTTGGTGTAAGAATGGATGAATCAACCCGAAAACACCCATAGAATTTCCAGGATTTCAAGGTGTCCCAGCGTTGAAAAAACAAATGGCAAAAATGGTTAAAATATGTTGAGATCTACCGGGGAACCATGCTGAACTGAGTCCAACAGATATCAGTTGAACATCTCTGAGTCTGATGAGAGTGCACATGTCACACATACGCTCCAACCCATAGGATCCATGTATGCTATATATGGTAACATTTACCATCAATATACCCCCAATGTTAGCATATATACCATACATGGATCCTATGGGCAATGGAATATCTACCAACTTTGAGTTCAACATCGGGATATCACATCGGGACCACAACTTTGGATGATGTGGCGGAAAAAATGCTCAAGATTCCGACACATTCCGGAACCATGGAGCATACACAATCTATACTCTATGGTTACCAATATACCATAATATACCAATTTAGCTACTCTATAGTGTAGTTTTATTGGATGATGTGCACTATCTATACTTGCAATAAAACTATATATATAATTATATATATAATATATATATTCAATAAAACTATACTATATGACTATATCTACAATTCCAATAGTATACTTCAATACAATATCTTACAATTCCAATAAAACTCTCAGTGCACTTTGGGGTTTCACATGGTTTCACCTAAGATCGGCCCTTCATCGCTGCCCACAAAAATTCTTCGGCCTTCCCGAAAGTGATCCACAGCCACCTGACAGGATTTGATCCCATCCTAACATGGAAAACCAGAAACCATAGCTTTATAGTGGACAAAACCACATATAAATGGGACCATAAATAGGAGTGTTTAGCTACAGTTCAAATAACCAAAGATGTTTCGTTTTCAAAGGGGACATCATCGAAATCATCGAAAATAATACCTAAACTGTTTATGAGAGTTTAGGATATCCCGTCTCGACAACAAATTCTTCTGGTTTGCGGCCCCAAGTTTGACGAATCAGTTGGGTCTGACACGGTGATCACCACCCATTTGTGCCACGGTCAAAAGATGGTATATGGATGATGTATATGGGATGTTATACCTATCCCATGCGTGCTGGTAATCCTGATATTGGCCACTTTTTTCGCTCCATATTAGTTTATTAGTCCAACATATATTTATGGGATATGACCATACCTCAATATAGATATGGGATGATATTATGGGTACATCATGGCACTGTTTTTGGTTGCCAGCATCTAGCCAAAAATGGTCCAACTGCAGCTAAATATAGCACATATGGATGGATTATTGCCAATGGTAGGTTTCTGGCATTGGGTTTGCCAAAATATGAAAACATGATCGATATATGGCATTATGGCATTCTAGGTTATCCAAGAATCCATGGTTTCTCGGCGGGACTTCGCAAACTAAATGAACACACAGCCAATACTCAATACCATCCATACCATGCATGCCATCCAGCCGCATTTTCCTACTCTTGGCTGATTTTGGAGTACGCCCCAGCACTTTCTTCCATCGCTTTTGGACAAAAATAGTTCGATGATTTACCCATTCAACAACAATCGATGGTTTTTTTCCATGGCAAACTGTTAAATTACCAGAGGGTAAATCTCGGTATACAAATCCCCTATCCAATGTATCCAAACTCCTGAACTTCCATACCCATACGATCCATGTATGCTATATATCTGGTAACATGTACCATCAATATACCCCCAATGGTAGCATATGTATACCATACATGGATTCTATGGGATATCAAATCATACCCAGAAGACTTCCTGAGCTCCTTGGATCAGGGATAAGCCCACCAGGTTTCCCCACAGCCAGGTCCGGTCCGTAGGTGGGACACCGGGAGAGCTTCAGCACCAACTGAGGGTGGGATGGCTTCAACCTCCCTTCAGTTGGTCGTGTTGACCCCCGTTCACTTTTGTTGGATCCCCCCAAAATCCTGTTAACCAAGTTCTAATCATTGGATTGGTTTAAGGGAAAATCTACAGGAAACCATGGTTTTTACCATCAAATATAGGGCTTTCCTGTAAATTTTCCCATCATCCAATTCTATGTTTTAAGTTAGCTATCTACGGGACCCTCACCCTGTTTTTGTGATTAGTTATGAGTTGGTTGAAAATGGATCACCATGGGGTACTTTCCGTTTGCATGACTGTTTGACATTTCTTAAATACAAATACCATCTGGCCATCTGGATATGACTAACATAGCCATGGAAAATCACCATGTTTAAGAACGGTAAACCATCTATTTCGATTAGGGCCATCTAAAAACCATGGCTATGTAACAGTCATAACCAGAGGGTAGATACAAAATGATACAAATAGTGCCCTTTGCTGGGTCATGGGATTCCCATTGTGAAGCCATAGAATCGCAAACAATCCCAAGTCATCTGTATACTATACCCTCTGGTGAACTAACATAGCAATTGAAAATGGCCATTTATAGTGGATTTTCCCATTGAAAATGGTGATTTTCCATTGCTATGTTAGTTCACCAGAGGGTAATGAAGGAATGTCAAACGCAAATCAATACAGTAACTGGGGGTAAGCATCAGACAGCACAAGATTGCTCGCAAAAACATGCCGCAGACGGATTTGAATGGGCTATGACCCACAAAGAAATCATCAGCTAACCAACGAACCATGGTCTATGTACATTGTTTTTCTTGCCAAAATAAACCCCCAATCAATTAGACAACCTGTAGGATTGATAGCGGGATTGACACTAGCCGTGTTCAGTATGGCCAGACACTGCATCACCTTGTGGGTTACGTAACCCAACCCGAGTCATTGATCGTCCTTGGTCAGTGCCAAAAACAGTACAGTCGTATGTGCCAAAAATACCCTGGAAGACAAAAACATACAAAATATCATGTGGTAAACAACTCTAAGAAACTATCCCCAATGTTGTACCATAAATGGGTGGCAAAAACAAGATATAAAAGGTACACGGTATACATTTATTGATGGCGTTTATAGTTGCATTGGGTTTATCACAGGCCTGACTCAAGCGCTGGACGTCAGTCTTATCGGTCTTGTTCCCCATGCCGCCCAAATCGATGAAGGTCACATGTTGCGTCTCCTGCACCGCTTGATGCTGTCCCCGTGCAAAACTGAAACCGGTTACAAGCTCACCCAGTAGCCACTGGTTGATGAGGAATGATTTTTGAAACCGCTTCTTGAACTGGGTCAGAAAGGTCAGAATCCACAGGACTCATCAACATACACTTTTTTCAGGAAGGAGATGGAATATCAGTGATTAAGTCAGGTTCTCACAGTACTTGGGGTATCAAGAGATTTGTCAATAGATTCAGAGTTTGTGGATCTTAGATGTTTTCTTCCTAAATGGTGGTTTCAACCCTCTGAAAAATATTAGTAGCAAGTTGGGATTATTAATATATGGAAAAATAAAAAATGTTCCAACCCGTCAACCAGTTTCCATAGAGATCCATAGAGTATTTTGACAGAGTGGAAGGCCTCCCAATCACCAGGTGTTCAGTCATCATCAACTTCTTGAGGTACCCGTCAAGTCACAAACCCTACAAGGTGCCACGTTTTTTATGCTGTAAAACTCATCAAATAAATAAATAAAGGTTCATCATCCCTTCTGTCAGTTGTTGTTTATCATCAAAAACAATCAAAAACAATCATAATACACGGTTTAACACCGATAATTGTTGCTTTTGGCCACTTGTTATAGTGACATTTTTGGACATGTTTGAGCCAAGCCCAATGGGATCGTCAATGGTTTCGGTCATCCTCGTCATAGAGGATGTTCTGGGTTCCAGCATCATTGTGCTGCCTTCCGCCATACCGCCTCGAGAGTCGCGGTATGGCAAAAGTGAAAAAACTGACACCGGAAGATTTCCAATTCGAATCTACAAAAATGATGGAATTCCAACAGATCCATAAAGATCCCTGAAATGATACTTCAGCAGTTGTAGATTGGCGGACCGAGTTCGGGGCAGAATTCACATCAAAACTTGGAAGAACCTCCATTCCCCCATAGGATCCATGGTGCTGGTATATATGCTAACATAAAGGGGGTATATTGATGGGATCCTTGGCACACCATATATAGCAGCACCGTTAGGATCCGTCAGGGCTTCGGCCGATCATCGGTTACCACTGAGATGCTAAGAATGCTAAGATGTCACGCTCCTCACCTGTGAAACTGGGCCAAACATTCACCGACTTTCGCAAAGATTTTCATGATATCTCCCTTCCGGTTGCTCCTGCCCAGGTGACCCAGGTGACCCAGGTGGCTGTGTCGGGTATGATGGGTATGGGGTATACGGTCGGGAACACCGCAAAAAACCTGCAAATAGCAATGTTTAGAGAAAGAATCACTATAGTAAGCAGTGAGTTTAGTGGTACCGATCCAATTACTTGGAATGGGTCAGTCACAAACATTTCGATGGCCAGGTAAAAACTCGAGGAAATGACATGGTCAAACAAGAAAAGTCATTTGGAAACAACCCCCAGCCCAGGACTTCAGAGTTTTGATCTACTATCTATATCACGAACTATGAAAATACCTGGTTTGTCTGAAAATAGGGTACCCCCCACCTCCCGTGGTTGATCTTTCCCGAAAATTCCATGGAAATGGTGGGAATAGACCATTTTATCCATTTTCAGGCCCATCTATATGGCAGTGTGTCAAAACCTTGTACCCCTGGTGAACATCAAAATAGCTGGTAAATGCATGTTCATCCTCCTAAAAATGGTATTAATAGGTATTGATCCATACCCATATAAACCATCTTGTTGCGGCATCGAGCTTGGAGCTCCTCCACTTTTCGGAGATGAGATGATCCAAAGATTTTCCAGGCGCCTTTCGCATGACAAACAAATCCTCGTTCGCGCGCCGAAGTCTAACCGGCTGTCTTTTAGTGGCTGGGAGTCCCCAAGGGTCCCATATGGTCCCATAGTGATTGGGGACACCCAAAGAATCAAAACAACAAACATTGGGATCCCATACAAAATTGGGGAAAGCCCATGAAACATGACCAAGAACGTTAAGGATGACCTGGGGGTACTCCATTTTAGGAACCATCAGTTCACCAATTCACCACGCCCGAAGCTTTCACCAACCTTCGGCACCCTGTAGTTCCCAAAATGGACAGAATTGTCATGCTTTGATGTGAATAAGAACGTAATTTGGTATTCGTTGCTATTGGAAAAAACAGCTCTTCTTGACACTCCATCATCCCAAGTTAAACAATGTTAAACATCATATTAACCCCTCCTTTTTGTTGGCTTCTCCAATGTTCTCCATAAAATGTTGTCCACGCTTTAGCGGCCTCCCAGGCGCGGCCCAGGCGCGTGCTTTCGCACGTTGTTGGGACCCAGCAATCGGAAGACCTTCGTGGGAAAGGCCACGTGCGCATCCTCCGCGATGTGTGGCACCTCCTGGGTGCGGGAGTCGCTGTTGGAAGCGAAGACCAAAATGGAGAAGATCAATTGGGGATATAGTTACAGCTATGTAGTTGATAAATGTTGATACTATATGTTGATATATATATATATATATTGATATGTATATAAATTATAGTTTTGAAATGTTTTGAGCATGACAACCGTTGAAGAAGGGGTAAGGTCCAGGGCCTACCACTTTTTTTACATTGAAACATATAAAAACCATGGAAGACCATAACACCACTGAAAACCTGCAAGGAATTAGAAAATCAACAAACAATGGGGGAAATCAACGGCACATCGTTTTGGCCAACCAGCCACTTCGGGTGAATCGTTGAGCCCCCACCTTGGCGCGACCCGGGGCGACTCAACATGGCTACACAATGGCTATAAAATTGCTATATAAGAGGGTTAACGGTTAATGGTTGATAAGAAGATTCTTATAAAATCAGCAAGATGAGCAACTCACCAACAAAGATTAAAGTGAAGAAGAGTTTCGGAACACCACTTGCATTGATGTCCAACACCGAAAAGAAGCCGTTGAACACGGGAAAATTATTGGCTGACTCGCTGCCAAATGGCTTCCAATCCACATGGCTTCAACTAAATGTCCAACATAACAGTCAATTGGGGATCACCCCATTATCAAAACTACCATTTGGATCCATTTGGTGTCTCTCCAGATCAATATAACTCCGCCCCTCTCTCTCTCTCTCTATCTCATGTTTGATCTATCTTTCTGGCAAAGCTTACCTGCCGAACATCATAGTTTCTCTCATGTATGTACTTCAACAGAAACGAATTGTTGATCACTTTTCCAATAAACAAAAACAACTATATATATATATAATTATATACAGTATATATATATATATAGTTAAATCATCAACCAAACCAATTTTTCAATAACTCAATTGTTCTCCCAGTTCAACAGCAACTAACCAATGTTTGATCAATTTTGTGCCCCAGAGCCTCCCGCCCCTTAAGAAGATCTCGCTCCTGATACAACTTCGAGAAAATACGCTCTTCCACCAATTGAGGAGGAGCAAACCTCGCGACTGAAGTTCCGAGATATTTCCTTCGAGTCAGGTTGGGTTGTCCTGTTTATCCCCAAAACAGTACTAGTATATTCTGGTATATTATGAAGGTTTCTTGATGTGGGAAACGCAATACTGAACCTACCATTTGGGGATGGTTTTGTATCACTCATTTACTGTGATTTTGGGGATGGTTTATGGCATTGGGTTTACCACATTGGTCATTTTTCCCCAAGTCCCATGTTTGATATGTCGGGTTGAACGGTTCTATCCTTCTGGGGAGACCGACCTGTGGTTTTTTCCATTTTCCCACGGCGAGTTGTGTAGATACGGTGCAAGAGAAGTGAGTTCATGATTTTTTGTCCCTTGATTCTGTGCAAATGGCAAACATATGCAAACATGTGATGATTTGGGAAAAAATTGGGATGCCTTGGCAGCCAAGCGAAACAACCACTCCAGCCCAACATCTTGCCGCCTATCATACTTCACCAACTTCAGCACCAGAGTCTCACCTGCGAGCCGACAGAATTCTGTCCTTTTCCGAAAAGTGGTCTTGGGATTGATCTTGCGGCCAGATCAAGCATCCAGTTTGCTTTCTTCGGTTTTTGGTCGGTTATACGTTATAAAATGTTATATATAGAATATATATCTGGTTGGTGGTATACCTACCCTCTGAAAAATATGAAAGTCAGTTGGGATGATGAAATTCCCAATATATGGAAAGATAAAACATGTTCCAAACTAAACTACCAACCAGATATAATATATGTATATATATATATATATACCAATTCCAGGATGGATCGATGCTAAGGAACCCAATTTGGCTGGTGATTCACATCGCATGTCAACTTACGTCAACTATTCTGCTCATTCTTAGGATTGAAAGAGTAAAAAACATGGGATACCATGGGCATAATCTGCAAATGAGCGAGTGTCCTTTGGTTACTCTACTGAAGTACGTGCTGTCCATAAAGACACCGACCAAATAAGGGTAGGTAAACAGTCAATGCGACATCAATCCTGTGCACTGTCCAAATTAAGGTGATAAGTCTGTGACGAAACGAAGGCATGATCAGAACCCACAAAACCATCTAAAACCAACATGGAAAAAGGATTTATATTGAACATATGCAATTTTTGGATTCCTTTCCCTGGAAATACTATACTAATGTGGTGATTTCTGTGGAGGAAACACACTATGGTCTGCGACTTTCTAGGCGGGCTGGAATTCAGAGGCATGAGTTTCTTTGGAAACCAGCTGGATCCACCTTTCATTTCCTGAATACCAATTCCCAGATGCTCCATGTATAGTATATTTACCTACATTTGGGCCATTTGTTGGGTAAATGTAGGTAAATATTCCATACATGGAGCATATGGGATTCATGAAAAGACCTAAAAACACATCCAAACACGCACGGCAGCTTCTATAGACTGTAAAGACTTGACTATCGTTCTTGGTAGAGACCAACTGGCCCGCCCCGCCGAAGTTTGCGACCTGGAGCCCCACGCAAGAACCAAATACCTTAGCAAAGTTGCAGAGATGCAACAAGTCCATTTGGGTGACAATTGGAGCACCACAATTCTGATAAACAACAAACATGGAGAGTAGAATCAACAACAATGGGCTTGTCTAGAGTTTATTATGTTTAGTCGGAAAATTTGATTAAAGCCTCATTTAATTTGGTGGTTTAGCATGGTTTTGCCAAGAATTCTCCATATTTAATGATCCCCTTCGGACGCATTGCAAGGTGGTGTCCCAGTTCGGAATCGCTAAGTTGGTTTTCTTTTATAACATTTATAACTCCAATTTCACTTAAGGGTTCATGGTAGATATACCATGATATATCATGATATACCATGATATATCATGATATACCATGATATACCATGATATACCGTGATATACCGTGATATACCATGATATAAGTGGTGCCCCATAATTAGCCAAGTTAGTTTATAACTCCAATAAGTTTGGTTTATGATACCTACAACTATGATTAATGGGGGTTATAAACCAACTTACAACTGGGGGGCACCACCTTGTGGGCATCTAAATATGCGTTCATTTACAGCCAATCAGAAAAGGCTACCTTCCAGCAGTTGGCTTTGAAGGAGAAAACTAATGTACGAGGGTTGGTAAATCTCCCATTTCAATGATTTGCAACATAACCTATAGTCTATTAATCCGAATGTTTGCATGGATCAAAATGATTAGACCCCCAACAGTGGATGGTTTGATCTATTTAATCCAAAAAAAAATAACATGTGTGGGTCCATTGATATCTGAGTTTTGAGCCATACCTATTTACCATACCTGAATCTTAGATATCCATGTAACAATGTATATTGTTTTGAGTTAGTTGGCAAATTGTCCAATTACATTTAAAAAAACAAAATGATTTAGAAAGTCATTTAAAAAAAAAGTTGATTTAGAAAAAATGCAATGACATTTATCAAAATGGCAATCCAATTTTTATCATGCCAAAATACGTACCAAATATGAACTTATATACCACAAATTCCCTGATGGACCATCTATTCACACATTTGCAATCTACAGTAACTAGCAAAAGATGTGCTTGTCTGAAAGTAGGGTCATCATGTGAATCATGTGTCATAATTTTCTCAAATAAATTTCATTTGGGAATTTGGGGGGGTGCCCGCCGATTCTGGGTCCATGTTCGACCGCCAATCTAGGATTTAAATCATGTATAATCTATAATTTATATTAATATATTATCGCAACCCCCGACATGTTTTTTGGGTAAATCCTTCCGTAAATTCGATCTTTTGGGGGTTACTCAAAGTTCTTAAAGATTGAATAAGTAACTTTTCGAAACTTCATCCAAATAAATCAAATATTGAACAATTAAGTTGCTTCTTTATTGTTGTTTCTATTGAAGTTACCCTCTGGTAACCTAACATAAATAACGGTGGAAAATCACCATGTCTAATAGGTAAATCTATAAATGAACCATTTTCCATAGCTATGTTAAATGACCAAAGGGTAAGTGTGTAGTCGTTACCCTCCGGTAATTCAACATAGCTATTGAAAATTGCCATTTAGTTCGTTGATTTACCCATTAAAAATGGTGGATCTTTCCATAGTTATGTGACAGTTTACCAGAGGGTAAACCTCCATTTTCCTATGGTTTTTCCTATGGTTTTCCCATTTTCCCATGGCTGTTCCACATGGATGAACCATATCGCCGGATGTGTCCGACTCGTTGAGGCGCCATCGTTGAGGCCGCCGTGAAAACCCGTCATCGCTTCCTGGGGCCAAAACCAGCCCGGCCAGGGCCCGTTGGGTCCGTTGTGAAATGGCAGGTGACCTCAATTAATAGGGATTAACGGTGGTTATGATTAATATGGTTAAAAAAATCAGGTATTGATATGTATTGATTAACCAATTAAAGTATTGTTAATAGGGATTAATCAATTACTATTAACTGGTTTATAGGGATTAACAGTGGTTAATGGTATTGATATGTATTGATATGGGATCTAGTAATAGTAATATGGTTATGCTTACTGGTGCTAAACGTAGGGAATTTTCGGGAATGATCCACAATAACGAATAACAATCCCAGCAACCCCCAAGCAACCCTTCCATTCCCTACGTAAAACGCACCAGTAAGAACAAGATTTTGCAAATGACGACCCAACATGAGCCCCACTGAGCCCTACTGGACTTGGGGATGGTCAAAAACAGCACCTGCTGTGGTGATTCCATGGGATCCTCGGCTGCTGGTCTCTGGTGGTGGGGATGATATCCAGCGATGGGTCAGCCACCTTCCCCATGTAGGATACCTGGGAGAGCTCCTCCTCGCAAGGTCCATGTCATCTTTGATTCCGATCGACACTCTCAGTTGTAACCTACATCCACATCACAGATTCACCATTCTGCAAACCAAACACTGCTGAACAAATCATGGACAATACAAGAGATGAACTGATCATTTTAGCAACGAATCGGTTTTTCTTTTAGCCAAGACCAGCATTTTCAACTAACCAACTCTCCCGATAAGGGGTATAGCTTTAAATATTAAAGTCTCTTGATTTCTGTCAGCTTCATCTTTCGATTTGTTCCCCACCTGGGTGCTTCCTAAAGTAGGGATACCCCCAAATCATCCAAGTCATGGATGACCATGACTTAGTATTGACACCCCCAATTATGTTTGTTGGTTTCTAAACCACAGTAGTTTGATATATCTACCATAAACCCAACAGTCAAACTGGAGTTATGTGCAGCAACTCAGCTCACTATTCTGGTCACCACCTTAGAAAATAGCTAACTATTCCATTCCCATGCCGCCCTTCCCATGAAATAATCTCATAAATCCCACCACTTTTATCACTTTCCGTGGCCCGTGGCCGCCAACGGAAGCGCCAAGTTTCAAAGCGGCTGCTGCTGCTGGCACCCAAAGCGGCCAGCAGCTGACCGCGCAGCGCGGGCAGATTGGGATCGAAGGGCCAAAAGCCTCAGAAGGCGACAAAACTCGCCTGGCTGAATCTGCTTGTTACATAACCAGCCATAAATGATCATAGATACTGTATGTGTATATATATATATAAGTACTGAATATATATATATATACACACATTGTGTGTATATATATATATATACAGTTATAATATGTTACGTGTTTATATACTATTCATGTATCTATATGTTTATATATATATATATATATGTTTATATATGTTTAGAATATGATACGGTACGCTTATCGGTTATAAGTTAAGTGTTTACATAAGTTATAACTATTCCAGCATATCATGCTCAACATCATCCTTTTGCCAGATATATAACCAATAAATCACACTAATAAACCTCTATTAGGGATGGTGACTAGTATTGGGTTTACCACATTACATAATATGTTTTGAGGCAATTTCTATTGATTGTCATCTGGAGAAACAATGCCAAACATGATGTGCAGAAATTTCTACAGTGGTCTTGAATGGTTTTGATCTACGGGGCTCAGGTGGGAACATCGAACCGCTGGATCAAGTCAAGCAAGAACTCAGCCACATCGCAAAGATCTTCTGATATTTGTTCATGGTTTGTCAAACATTTCAGGATATTGCGAGAGTTTTAACCAATTAACTAACAGTTTTATGTGCCTTGGGACAAATTCCATTTGCTTTAAAAGGGCAAAACTCTCTCCTTTTTTGCCGATCAAGCGTTGACATACCTTGTTATACTCTTCCCATCGGACATAGAAGAATACTGCACGATTTTATTGTTTGTTGGTATGGTGTTCATCCACAACAGTTCCACACAACCGTCATTTCAGCTACTAAAAACCATGTGTGATGCTTGTTTCAATGTGGCTTGAGTCGCCACCTCACACCATAATCTGAACGCAGGTCAACCTCTGTCAGTCTCTTCTGGAGTAGAACCCAACAACCATCAACGACCATTCGGTACAGTATTTTTTTTTCATGTTTCTCGTTCATTGTAATTTCATGTAATTTCATAGTGTTCGAATGTTTTCGATGGTTACCAGGGTTATCCAGGGTTGTATTTGGGATGCGACAAAATGATCCAACATGTTTTTTTTGATGATCGACCATTAAAATTGAAGGGGTGTCGGGTGTCCCAACATTTTTCGGATAGACCCAAATGCATCCCATATGCCCTATCCCATAGGATCCATGGTATATATGCTAACATTGGGGGTATATTGATGGTAAATGTTACCATATATAGCATACATGGATCCTCTGGGCATATATATTGGCACTTCCATTGTTCACCATCGCCATGAACAGTTCTCACTCAGCAACCCAACGGCAAATCTCGGACCTCAAAGCGCCCCGCCATGGGCCCGGCCGGGGAGGGGGGGCGTGGTGAACCAAAGCCGAAGCAGTTGGTGAGGGAGTTGAAACTGGAGGACGTGAGGCCTGCGGCCAATAGCAGCTGCAAGGTGTTGAACACCAAATTGTTGGGTACGTTGGTGCAAATAACTCGATTGTGTTTCTTGGGGTTACCTAAATATATCATAGATACAGTATGTACTTAATGGATCTTAATGGTGGTAACTTAAACAAATTTAACTTAAATCAACAAACATAACTGCAAGGCACCACCTGGTGGGAAGTGGATGCGCAGACGTAAGTGAAGGACATTCGCCACTTGTTCAAGGGTTTCACTCGAACAAAATGGGGACAAAACCGTACACATCCGTACGCCTATAAATCTGGCCAAATTGTGTAAAATTATCTGATAATTTTCAAACCGGCAAATCAACCAGAGATAACATGAGATGAATAAACATGACTCACCCTCAACGTTGGATGATTTCACCGCAAGTGGTGCCCTTCGGTTACTGTTTTGAATATGACTAGCTACCAAACCCAACAGTTGTTGGAGTTGTAAACCAACTTGGCCACAACATATCAGTTACAAAAAAAATATCCCGTCATAAAGTTCACAAACCTTCAAGCAAAAATGGGGTTCCTTGGATGTGAATCCCAGGAATCACAAGATCAGTCCTACGCAACCCATATAGACCATATAATATCATATAGTACAAGGGTGGATAACAGGGGTATTTCATATCAGGTAGGCCCCAGTGAAAAGTTAGTTTCAATAAAACTCACAAGAACTAGCCACCAAAATTTAATATCCTTTCTTTCCCCAAACAGTGTGTCCACACTGAGGGGTTCTTACGGTAAGGCCCGGTGTCCAATCGAGGTGGTATCGGAAGCGTCCGGCATTTTCCCTGTAAATTTCCGCACAAAATGCCTCTTGTGACATGTCCATGTGCATTTCGACTGCACAGGCTGGCACAAAACGCTGGCCGCAGGATACGCGTATTGTGAAATGTCCGTGTGCATTTCGATTGCGCCCGCTCGCACAAAGTGTGCTTCCCAGTCTTGGGATCGGTCTTCCTCCTCAACATCATTCTCCTCAACTTCATCATCTTCCTCCTCCTCAGCATCCACATCATCATCTTCATCATCACCATAATCATCACCACCATCATCATCATCATCATCACCATCATCATCATCATCATCATCATCACCGTCATGATCACCATGATATCATGATCGTCACCATTACCATCACCATCATCATCGTCACTATCATCATTATCATCATAATCATCATGAAAACCATGATCATCATGATCATCATGATCACCATGATCATCACCATGATCATCACCATCACCATCACCATCACCATCATCATCATCATCATCACCATCATCATCATCATCATCCTCATCATCCTCCTCCTCATCATCATCACCATCATCACCATCATCACCATCATCACCATCATCATCATCATCAACAACAACAACAACATCACCATCATCATCAACATCGTCATCAACATTAACATCATCATCAACATTATCATACATGATCTTTTTACTACCCCCCACACTGTTTGGGGTCTATTGCCGGGATATTTTGTTTTTCTCCATAAACACAACAGATCCAACACTTCGCCAAGTTCGAACAGCACCTGGAAGTTGATCTGCAGAGCGACTGATGAAGCTCTGCACCAGTCGCGGCTGGGGGGAGATGTGTTGCAACCGACCGCAGGTGCCTGGAAGATGGCGCCAGGGCAACCATGGCCGGTGACGCCAAGATATCCATTGGTTCAATGGCCATTTCAGGAACCGATTGATTGGAGGTGTATATACACATATATATATATATTATAAGGCCTATGCAAGGGAATATCCCCACAAAATATGGCCAAAAATATGGTACAGTACCTCCATTTTAGGATCCTGAAATTCCAATTGAATGGTTGGTCCTGATTTTATCATGATTTAGCTATGAAAATTGATTGATGAACATCTCAATCCCATTCATGGGATTTTCGATGGGATATGAGTTATGGGATGTGACGGGCTTAGGAATGGGATACACTTTATATTAGTGGGATATATTGACAGCATACTTGGTATAATCATGGGATTATAACCCCCTATAAGTTGGGAGACCGGCGGCCCCGATTGGACTATGGTTATAATATACCTATGAAAATTAAATTGCATGATCTGTAAGTTGATCATCATGTATAATGTGTTCAATGAAATTGCAATGTGTGTGTTCTCTGTTTTTTCAGCCAGTTCTGAAACGTCTCGACGTCTCTGGTATGCGGATGTCTCTCAGAATGGGTGACCTCGCGGTTTATTAGCAACTTTGACGGGGGGAATTATAAAACTAAAGAAAATTGCTGATGAATATTGGGTTGGTCTGGGCAAAGTTCAATGATTTAGTGGACCAAGAGACCCATCTCAAATGACCAATCCTGGTTGAATTGCCATCATGTCTGAAAAATCACATTATATCAATTATCGCATTTGCATATTAACTGATACAATTATGACTATGGTGCATTTTCAATTTATCCATCCAAATACTGACGTAAAAACCATTGTTTTCCACATTAGCAATGACAATAACATTGACTAGTTAGTGTCTTCACCCCCCGAAAAATATGCTGGTTGAACATACCACAAATATGGAAAATCACCAGCAAATTCAGTTGGGAACAGCCCATCCATCAAATGTTCCATGTATTTTCCCGCAAAAAATGACCACGAAATCTATCATTTGGCTGGGAACTCTGAGTAGTTCCTGTGCTCCACATTTTTTTTTGGGAATACGGATGCCCAAATCGCTCCGAATCGCTCAAATCCCCAAATCCTCACCAGGGTAGAGCTAAAAATAAAGCCTATTGTACATCCTGTTACCATAAAATCCCATGAACTCCCATTAATTAATAAATCCCCATTTTACGGTAAATCCTTTGGTACACCCCCAATTTTTTCCATTCCCATCCCCTCCGACCGCGGGCGCCCAGGTCACGTGGACTCGGCCGCGGAGTGACCGTGGGCGTCACGCTGAGCACCGAGCGCGGCGTAGGGGCCGGGCTCGCCGTCAGCGACGAGGTCGAGGTGCACCGAGGGCTGAAGCCTTTCCGCCCGGGGGAGTCCGGGTCCTTGGCCGTTGAACAAAAAACGCGAAAAGCGCTGGGGGCCTTGGACGGCTGGAACATTTTTTGGAGAGCAAATGAGATCAATCTATATTATTTATAAATATATATATATATATTATAAATTTGATATAAATTTGATATATCTTGATAATATGATTCAGTCGTGGGTAATCATGATGCTTGGATCCTGACAAAAATCCTGGTGGAATGTATTTGATCTTTTCATTTTTTGGGTCCCAAATTAAGGGGATTTAGATATTTAGTACTAGGGGAATGGGATTAGTACCAAAATCAGTGGATATCTTGGGGGTCTGAGTCTAAATTTGATGTAATTCGCGAGTGTTTGCGGGGTTACATTTTCAATGGGACAAGACCAGAGCTTGGGGACTGATTACTGCAACCAGGGGCTATTAACCAGCTACTGACTGGCACCCGCAAGTAGTGAGGTCCACCTCAGCCCATCCCCATGTTGTGAATGCTGAGAAACTACTGGTGAGTCATCCCTGGAATCCAAAATATACGTGATTCAACGTGATTCAACGTGATTCATAACTTGAAGATTGACACTTAATTGACTGATGCATATTGATGCATACTGATGCCACAGATGAACGCAATTTGCATCAAAATCATCAGAATCAGGAATAACATCCCTTAAAACAAGCTGACGAATCAACACTTTTTCTCGCCGGTGATCCCGCCAGACTAAGCCCAGGGTTCATTCTGGGTACCATGAAGGGCAGATAAACTGCTAGTGCTAAACTAGAGGGAAGGGATTGTTGGGGCAAGGCCCAAAATTGAGGCGCAAGAAAAACAAGATGCAGCCCACGAAGCGGAATGCAGTCGCGTAGAACACTTTTGTGAAACAAGTTATTTGAACAGTCTTGTACATGTGTCCCTTGTTACCCTACCAGTGCACTGTAATGCGGAAGGGGGTGGAGTGCAAAGTAAAGTGTAGACTGTGGAGTGTAAAGTGTAAAGTGTGGAGTGTGAAGTATAAAGTGTGGAGTGTAAAGTGGGGAGCGTGGAGTGTGGAGTGTAGAGTGTGGAGTGCACAGTGTGGAATGCAAAGTGTGGAGTGTGAAGTGTAAAGTGTAGTGTGTGGAGTGTAAAGTGTAGAGTGTGGAGTGTGAAGTGTGGAGTGTAAAGTGTAGTGTGTGGAGTGTAAAGTGTAGAGTGTGGAGTGTAAAGTGTGAAATGTGAAATGTGAAGTGCGCAGTGTGAAGTGTGAAGTGTAGGATGTAAAGTGCAAAGTGTGGAGTGTGCAGTGTGCAGTGAGAAATGGAGAGTGTGGAGTGTGGAGTGTAGAGTGTAAAGTGAAAAGTGTGGAGTGTAAATTGTAAAGTGTGGAGTGTGGAGTGTGAAGTGTGGAGTGTGGAGTGTAGAGTGTGGAGTGTAGAGTGTGGAGTGTCAAGTGTAGAGTGTAAAGTGTAAAGTGTAGAGTGTAAAGTGTGGAATGTAAAGTGTGGAGTGTAGAGTCTGGAGTGTAAAGTGTAGAGCACGCAACACGACACATCTGAATTGCTGCCACTGCCACGCAAAATGACCATGGAGGTCTCTAAAGTGCTGCCACTGCCACGAAAAATGCAACTCATCTGCTGCAAACCTTGCACAAGTATGGCGCCTGTCACACAAAAACGATTTTCGACACGTTTGCAGACACGTGAGAACGTCAGGAAGTGCCACTTCTGCCACGCAAAACAACATTACAACCAGCTTTGATGCCCTCGAAAAGGACAGGTTTCGCAGGAGCATTTCGTGCGAGACTTCCTCCGATTTTCACACTTTGTAGCTGCAAAATTGCCGTTTTCCTGCGAGTTTTCTCATGAACCTGAAAATTTGCGACCGCAAAATCGATGTTTCGTGCGAGGCTTCCCTCACTTTTCATCACATCTCACAAAATTCCACGCCTGCCACGGAATTTGCACGTTGTCACCACTTCACGCAGCCCTGACAATGCGATTCGCACAAAACACACCACACGACATGTCTAAAGTGCTGCGCCTGCCACGCGACATAACGATAGAGGTCGCCAAAGTGCTGTGCCTGCCACGAAAACTGGAACACATCTTCTGAAAACGTAGCAAAAGCCTTGCGCCTGCCACACAAAACGACTTTTGACACGTTACGAAACATGTTGGAATGTCACAAAGTGCCACGCCTGCCACGCGAAACGAGGTCACACGACGTCTGAAACCTCCAAAAGTGACCACTCTTGCACAACTCGCCAGAGGCACGGCCACACGATGGGCCTCTCACGGTCGCCTGCGGACGGTTGCGGACGGTTGCGCAACGTCTGGCGAACACATACGCGTTCGGGAAAAAACCTTCGAAATTTGATCCATTGTCCATTGTCCATTGGATCAACAAGCCTGGATGATCAACAATCGCTTGCTTTCCCCAAGTCCCCCCAAGTAATAGTATACTCTGCCACTAAAGTCACTAAAATGTTCATATCAGAGGCCAAGTTTGGGAAAATCTAGGAGTGACATCAGGAACCACTCAAAATGGACCTCCGGCATTTGCTGACACCCCCATGATGCCCATGGCAAGTAGCCGAGGGTAGGGCCACAGTGGGCGCCACAATATTGATGGTCACGCCTTTCTGAAGTACATAGCCTGGTAGCATTTCGTCACTGGTTACAGATTTCAACCATGAAAGCTATGACCCCGAAAATCTGGTATCATATTCAAGGTGCTGGCTGACAAATCCCCTGAAAAAGGAGCTTTGAATGGGAAATGATGGGATTTTTTCCAGCAAACCATGTTTGATTGCCGGAGGTTGATGGCCGGAGGGTACCATCTCGTAATCTAACATTATATAGGAAAAAATACCCATTTGCGGATGACTTTCCCATTCAACATGGCAATTTGTCATGGCTACGTCCTCAGGGTCAGCCGAGATCTTCATCCCAATGAGAAATGCATGCATCTCAATCTCACACCTCTCATGGCTTTTTGTTGCTTTCTTCCCGGCCGCAAATCACCCCCTGCCTTTGGGAGGCTTCACCGGGCTGATTTCTCGATTGGATTGCAGCAAGCAGGGCACGTTTTGAATGTTTTGTTGCATCATTGGCGTCGCTGCTAACTCTACGACGCGAACAAAGGAGGAATCCTGAGCTCCAAGTCGCTAAGTCGGCCCCGTCCAGCGAACATGTCCATGGTCTATTTAAGAGTAAAGAAATCAACAGTTTCTAAAGAGCATCGAGGCTTTGAACATCTTAAAACTACAAAATGGGTGAGTTCAACAAAACAGACAGCTACAACTCGATCGGCATAGTGGACTGTGGCTGATTTGACAAATGAGCAACAAGTAAACGGAGCAATGCTTTCAGCATACAGTAATACATCTGACCAAAGCAATCAATCTACAGTATCTACTGTAACCAAGCCATGGAAGGAGAAAGGAAATTGTCCCACGAAATATCCTGAACTCCAAAGTTCGCTCCAAAGCCTGATGGATGGGCTACACTAGAAAAAACTCCATCAGTTGTGGCTAACATTGTATATTTTTTGTGTCTCATATTGATGGATCATTCTATTGAGTAATACGAACTTGGGTTCCAGACCTCCTGTCCAAAATGAGAATAAGCAGGGCTACTAAGTAGTCGCACCCTCCCCCATATGAAATAGCCCCCACATGGGCCCCAATATGAATACATCCAATACGAAACAATGGTTTGAACACAAATATTAAATATAGTTAAAGTTAATTATGTAACTATATTAGAGGGTTGGGCTCAATGAACGAATCAATAAACCACAATAAACCCATCTTGGGAGTATTTCAAGGAATATCAAGGAATGATTCCCCTTAGTTTCACCTCATTTTTGCGAGCTCCGCCAGGTCAAGAACTTGCGCAGGACGCCAAGTTGCACTACCACCGATCCTTGTAAATCGCTGGTCGACCCCTCACGCGTCGGATCCTGGCAACGAAACCTTCCGGACTTTCGAGTTCAAATAAGCTGCGAGACACATATAAACTCACCTGACTTTATAGCAGATTCAGGGTGATTTCTGCATCAATTATGTTATCCAAACTCCTCACAGTTTTGGAAGTGCTTTCAATACCTACACAATTCCACTTAAAAACGGTGGATACGAATCAATGTGGCGGCATCAAGTTTTAAGCCCCACATGTTATCCCTTTGAGAATTGCTCCACCAATAAGAGCACCAGGATGGCTAGTGACTCAGATCTTCTCATTCAAATATGTCACCAAATCTGCGACAGGTGCTTGAGCCATCCTCCTGAAAAAACATCCGCAACCGTCAGGGATTCTCATCCCATTTTGATGGTTTCCTGAAATGTGGGTATCGACTAGTTATCATCCATTTTAGATGGGGATTTTCAATTATAAACCAACCATTTTGGGGATCCCCCATGACTATGGAAACACCCAGCCATTGACGCTTGAACCATGATTGAAACCACCAGCCAAGTCTGACGCTCCACGTCCCTGAGGGAAGCGCCAACTCTGCGTCCAGCGCTTGGTTTTTTGCCTGGCGACACCCTCACACGATGATACGAGTCAGGTAACCACCAAAATGGAGCAACTCGCAAAAAATGGACTAACCATGACTAAACCCCCAAAACATATCAAACAAAATCACTTAGTACATTCCAGGGTTGTCCAAACAACATGCAGAAAATGGAGCCCAACATGACCCCGATTCTCCATCATGGGATGGAAATGAGGAAATGTGACTCTATGAAAATGAAGAACTTTGGAGACATAGTGAGACATGATTGATCAACATACTCAAAATAAACATATAAAAAAGATTAAAACAGGTGACTCTGTTGCCATTTTGTTTGCCAATAAGCATATCGAGCAAGCAAATACACAACTATGGATTTACCCCCGAGAAAAAAACACAAAAACAACAGGATTGGATACTTCACCACAAAGAATGCGTTCATACCCTAACCGCAACATGGAGATGTACGCATTACTGAAATAAAACATAGACTCTGCCAAATAGATCTAGAGAGGGGGTTGGAAGACTACTTTCCACTGAACATTGGCTGATTTTAGGATGGATCCAATATGTACCTA